AATCGCTGCAATACAGTGTGCAGGGATGCACAGCGCCGCCATATCCATAAATCCGTGGAAAGCGGTGATCCCGCTAAGGTCTGGAAGTTCTTAAGGTCTCTCGGTGTTGGCAAATCTCGAAATGTCAATTTGTCTCTAAACTTAGACATCGATCGCCTGAATGGTCATTTCTCTGTATCTTCCTCTCTTGACAGTCATGTCAAAGAGAAAACTTTAAGGTATCTTTCTTCTCTGCCAACACCAGATTTTACTCCTTTTACTTTTAGTCAATTTTGCGATAGTGATGTTGAGAGGAACATTCGTGCCATTGATTCCAAAGCGGTAGGCATTGACAATATTGGCCGTAACATGATCATTCCTTTACTTGATATTCTATCTCCAGTTATCACCCAAATTTTTAACCAATCCATTTCATCTAGCAATTTTCCATGAATTTGGAAAGATGCTCAAGTCATTCCACTTCCCAAAAAATCCAATACTGATTGTACGTCTGATTTCCGTCCTATTTCCATCCTACCTTTCCTTTCAAAAGTTCTTGAGCGTCTTATACACAATCATATCAGTGAATACCTTCGTGTGAATAACTTACTAAATCCTATACAATCTGGTTTCCGTCCCGGCCATAGCACAGCTAGTGCACTTGTCGAGATCACCGATGATATTCGCTTTGACGTGGAGAATCAGCAACAAAAGAATGGAGCCACTCATTTGGACTAACAATTAATCCGACAAAAACGCAGTGCATAATTATTGGTAGCCCTTACTTCATATCACGGACGGACTTTAAGCAACTGCCATCAGTTACTTTGAATGGAACTGTTATCCCATTTTCTGATACAGTTCGGAATTTAGGGGTAATATTTGATAGCACCCTATCTTGGTGTCATCAGGTTGCTGAGGTTAGTAGACGAACTTTCGCTGCAGCCGGATCTTTATGTATTACAGATCTACATGTATTATCCCTACTTTTCTCAGCACTGTTCAATCCAAAATCTCCTGTTTACCTGAAAGAACGTTTTCAGTTTCTTTCTTCCTCCCATAATCTTCCACTTCGTTCATCTAACAATCTTCTTCTTTTCACTCCTCCTAACTTTTCCAAGGCGTATAGCCATTCTTTTACCGTACATGCTATCCAACTCTGGAATTCCCTGCCCGTAAAGATAAGGCGTGCCCAAACTTTAGGCTGTTTTAAGTCTCTAGTTAAGGAGCACTTTTTGTCGGAGGAACTTAATTTTTCATAAATCTTGCATTAGAACTTACCGGTTTCGGTAGCGTTGTGAAGTATTTGAATGTTTATGTGTGATTATATATTAAAATTTCTCTTATTGTATTGTTTTTTCTTTTAATTTTTCCCCCCTTTTCGTCTTCTTCTTATCTAATTATCAGGAGATCTTTTGCCTTGTGTTCCGCACAACCTCCCTTACTTGCTTACCTTATTTTATTTCCAGCTCATTGGGTTGTCTGGAAGAAATCGCTCATTAGCGATAAGACCGCCCTTTGTGCAATGTTGTATTTTCTACTTGTTTTGTATCAGATTGTTTTGTTACTGTGTTGTGCAATAAAGAGTTTTTATCTTTTATCTTATAACCTAAATCGTCAACCAGATGTCACTTTAACTTGCGTTCAGAAACTCGATTTCAAACTTTCGTTTACATAAAGGATGCATGTTCGTATGTGACCTAGTAATAGTGCATGATTATTCATAACTACTCTAGCGGTAATGCAGAGATGAGCGGAATAGAAGAGCTACATTCTGAAAATTTAAATTACCGGCCATACAGTTGAACGTGCGGTATTTTTTTTTTACCGCACGCACCGTGCGTATTCTTTACGGTTTTATTAAGTTCAATCAAACCTCCTGAGAAATGCAAAGTGACAAAGGTATAAATAATAAAATATAACTTTGTCTCACTTTAATACTAATAAAAAGAAAAAGAAACGAAAGATGTAGTTCTAATATTCACCCGCTCGTGGCGCTATTTGGAAAAGCACGCCACTTTATTACAAGATTTCTTATTTTTGTTCCATTACTTAAATTATGTATACTGTTTTCTCGCAAATGTATTGAAAAACATTGTAAAGTGTGCAGGTTTCTGTGAAGTAACCGATTTGAAAAAATACAACTCGATACCTAGATGAAACCTAATAAAGAATATGTAAGTTCATAAAAATATACCCGCCAATGATGCTGGTACATTGGATGAGGTCGATGTTTTGTTCTGGCAATATTTTTTCATTACAGCAAGAAAGATTTTGTAACACTTCACATGATAACCTGTATTATCATAAACACGACATTCGTGCGGATTGGTATTAACAAACTCGTGACTATGGTAAGCCCCTGACTTGCTCGTTATAAATAACCAATTTACCGCACTAATATCATAAATAATTATTGTAGACAATGTATTATAGCGACATTCATTACACTCCACTTGTATTATGTACCTATCGATAGATCTAATAAATTGCTGGCTCGAAGGACCATTTGTGTGCGTCCCTTCACGTGGTAGCCGTGAAAGGCAAGTGGGATCGTCGAATGGCCACCGGTCGTGCCCCGTCGCCGCAATGCCGCCACCATCCCGCAGCCGCACGGTATTGTGGTGGAAGCTTGGCATGTCTTTCGTGCTTCAACAGCACCCATAAACACTAACATTTGTGGGTATCACACCTCTCTGGGGCCGCTTGATCTGGGTGCTTATGATAGCTTTGTAGCTAAAGTTTGAAGATCATAGAAGTTAAGTTTCTTGCGCTATGGCCGGTTGTTGGATGGGTAACCAAAAATTATATATGGAGCTCAACATGCTGGGCTCCGAAGGCACGTTCAGCTACCGGCTGTACCGACTTTTTTTTTAAAAGGTGGCAAACAAGCGTATGGCCCGCCTGATGGTAAGCGGTCACCATAGCCCATAAACGCTTGCGATACCAAAAATATCACTTGCGCCGTTGTTTACCCTCACCCAATTCCATACCCCGTGGAGCCCTGGATTCTTACTCACCGACAAAACCGCATCGCCACCAAAAGACAGTGTTATTTTACTATTGTCTACTGTAAGGTGGAGGTTACTTCCCCAGACGAGCGTACCAATTCGAGAAGAGTTCCGCTATGGCCACTTTCAAATATCTGCAAACGTTAGCACCCACCAACCCGTCTCATGACGGGTCTGGGCGTATTTTCCTTATTCCATTCATAGGGAAGTCCTGTGAAGTAAACACATTCAGTTCCTTACTATAGGACAAGTAGGTAGCAGACGATTGTTGCAAAAACTGCAATCGAAAATTCTACTGCCTTCCTACATATAGCTATGTGAAATTGCTGTTTTAAAGTAATAGTCATATAATCCAAATTCCCAAGACCTTACTTATTTTCTGATGGCCAAAATATGCACAATCGAACAGTATTCGTTTGTACAAATGAACATATATATATATACTCCTCGCTAACTGTGCCGTGGGCCAAATCTCTGGTATAAGGTGGTCGTCCTTGCCACACGGCTTCTTCTCTAGGAGACGTTTGCACGAATAATTTTCATTTCGAGCTACATGTCCAGCCCACTTCCATTTGACGATGACCTCCGTAGCCGAGTGGTATATACGCCGGGTATCAAGGTGTCGCCTACTCTTAAGGTCCCGAGAATACGAGCATTTGTACCTTTGTGATGGATGTTTTTATATATTTCTGGATAAAGTATTCTTATTTATGTATACATATGTATTTGCTCCGCCACCACGTTGTTCTCAAGAGACCTTTTTGAAAAAATCTTCCCGCACCAAAGTAACGAGCTTCGGCGAAAGTGGATCCCCTTGCAGGGAAGGGTAGGGTAGACTCTACTAACTTTGGCCCCCACAAAGATTGGCCCTCTTGCATACACTAAAATATCTTCCTACAATCTGGGGTCTTTTAAGAGAGGCGCAAAGAAGCATTTATGCAGGCCGGCAAGGTGAGGATGGTTGGTGTGGCAGTTTATAACTGCTGTACCAGCTATCTTCGCGTTTGGACTTTATCGCCACTTAACATCAGGTGGGGTAGAGTCATTTGCCTACTTGGCTATATAAAAAATAAAAATATGTAAAGAAATTAATAAATAAAATACTTAAGACAATATATTATTATTATTCTTTAATGGCAATTCTTCAATATTCAGTATATAAAAAACCTATAGAAATGGCATTGTTTTGAAAAAACAAAGTATATCGTCGCCGGTTCGCACAGGCCATGAAAAGGTAGCCATTTTATTGAACACAATAAGGGATAGGTGTTTTTATACACGTTTATCTTAATGTCTTATTTTTTCGACATAAATAGTAAAGTGTAACCACTGCACAGATGGTAACTGTATTTTAGCAGAGCTTTACCTAATATTCAACGAAACATTAATGTTTAAAGTTTATATCTGCCAATAATATGGCTGGTTTGTTTATAATAGGGGTTAAAGTATAAAATTACCGTTTTATAGTAATAGTAAATAATAAAAAAAACCAAGATCTCAAAGCCACCAGACCTTACTTATTTTCTGATGGCCAAAATATGTACAATCGAGCAGTATTCGTGTAATTAGGCAGCTGGGCGGGTAACTAGATGAGCAGTGAGGTGGAAGACCACTGACGGCGGTAGTTCTGAACTTGGTTTAAAATTTTGTTTGATGAGTCATGGACCTTGAGCGTGTGCGATGGACCAGGTGCGGCAGCGATGGACAAGGAACGTTTAACTGCTATTTAACATCATTGTGTAACTACATTCAATCGAAAACTTAGAATTAATTCACTGCAGACAAAAAAAAATAAGAATTCCTCTTAAGGGGCCAATAATTATATAGTCTACCCTAAATTAATATAAAGGAAATAAAAACATCAGTTAGAAATGGCAATACCAAAACGTTTATTACACAGATAACCCACAATGTATTCGACTGAAGGACTCTGTATCCAGGTCATGTATAATGAAAAAAAATACACAGATAGGGAACGTTGATACCATAGACATAAGTAGGGAATTGAGTAAGAAGTTACTCGCATGAAATGGACTTGATGGTGCAGCTCATAGATATATAAACTACTGGTCGCAAGATGGGGTCTTCCCCGTCATCCTTAACTGCTATCCAGTTTTTTACATTTGCATAGTCAGTCCGCTATCTATGACTACGGTTAAGTCTTCCCTAATCAACATTAGAATCGTGAGGTTGTAAACGCACCCCACGCGTAGAGCTAAGCTAAGGGTCGGTGGGGCACGCATGCGTACAACGCACCAAATCTAACCCCAATACCGCTTCGCTTAAGAAGCCACCATTTTGTACTTTTCATTTATTCCTTATTTTCGGTACAAACATCTCCTTCGCGATAAACGAATAAGAACTTGCATTCGGATTTCGGGAAAGACTAAATTGTGAAGTGAACGCTTGCAGAGTAGCGCATCTGTGGACACGAATTTTACGCGAGTGTTTTCCTTACGTAATATTTTTTTGAAAAAAGAAGCTGTTCGTGGTCTCAATTGGGAATCGGTGTGAGGTAAGATACCTTTTTTGTTAGTTCTTAGAAAAGTAGGAGACCTCTTTGGTACATTCTTTATAAGGTTTTTAGAAGGATTCTCTTTGTACCGAGGTCGCACATTGATTTTTACTTAAACTTTCCATGTACTCACTACCTAGTAGGTACCAAACATTCCTAAGACGCAAGGGTCGTCGTGTTTTGAAAGAACCTTATGATAATCAAGTTAGAGGTCGATTTCACTCCACAGAAAGTGAAGGTTGTTCAATATTAAAGAGGATGAGTCCGACATAATAATATAGCTATCTCATTCGTTGGTATAAGATTGGTTTTTGCATGTATAAATGTGGAATGAAGGTAAACAGAGGTGTAATGGATGTTATCCCGTTTTATTACTTCGGAGAATTTTTATGCGTGTGTACCCAAACTTGAGAAATGCTATGGATTTGGGCTCATTCGTATTTCTAAAATCGTATAAGATTGCTCAATCTTAGACGGGCTAAGGAGTCGTTAAAGTGTCTGTTATAACCTACTAGATCAATAATTATGGATATCGCTTCGTTGATATAATTTTGACTAAATTTATTTCAAACAGGTATTGAGTCAAAAAAAACATTATTTTTCTTACACTACCAATATACATTACGTACACATACATACATATACATTACGTAAATGGAGCTTAGACAGGCCCTTCTACTACTAAAATACCTTGTCAAAAACACGCCAAGTTCCGAAATTTAATTTTCTTCAATTGTTTCATAAAACTTAACTTATATCAAAACTGATTCATTACAAATGTGCAAAGTTGGAGTTCCGAATGAACGTCTACGAGAGATTTCTACCTTATAACAACTTATTCTGGACGTGTATATTAGGATTTGACACTTCAGATACAATTATTGATAAGGTAAAATTACAAGAGAAAAACGCCAAAAAATAAAAGTTGTTTCCCATTTAATACTTTGTTTTATCGTGTTTAATTTATTTGTATTTCGTATTGTATCAATAGAGTTTAATATTACAATATTATAATTAGAATATCTTTATATGACACCATTTACTTCCCACTCTCTATGTAACAGTCCAGTTAAACTACGGTTGCCTGGAAGAAATTGCTTTTTAGCGATAAGTCCGTTTGTACTATCATGTTATAGTCTTAATTAATTGTAATTTAAAATTTCATGGTGTACAATAAAGTGATCATTCATTCATTCATTCATTCAATAGTTATAGGTACACATTCTGTGGAAATAGCAATTTTTTTACCGACGAGATCTGTCTGCCTTCTTGAGGGTCCATGTTTCCGCATCGTAGGTGAATATGGAGAACACCAGAGTTCTCACCAGCCCAACCTTGGTCTCTTGTGAGAAAGGTCAAATTTGGATAAAATCGATTTTTTACCGATTACGGTGAAGCTAATAGTGGCGGTTTGTAATGTGGTTTTCTTCACCCTTTGCGTACGGACTACGGAACTGTCAAAGAGTAATGCTCCTTATACATATTTTATGTTAAAGAGGAGACTTATGTAACCCTGACTCTACATTACCATTTTATGACAGGATTCAAGTTCGAAGACGATAAACAATATCTGCATATAAGTAGGTGACTTTGTTCAACTTCAAGGAGGGTATTTCTATGTTTATTTATAACCTAATTTTATCAAAATTTGACCTTTCCCTTTAAGGACGCTACGTTTAGAACTTGAGATTATTATGTTGTTGATTATTTAACCTACACGAATATGAATAGATCATGGAAAGGATTAAGACTCAAGAAAGATTTAATGTGGTTTTGTTCACCCTTTGCGTACGGACTACGGCTTTGACGATTTCAAAGAGTAATGCTCCTCTATTCATATCTATTTATGTTAAAGAAGATACTTATGTAACCCTGACTACATTACCATTTTATGACAGAATTCAAGTTCAAAGACGTTAAACTATATCTACATATAAGTAGGTGACTTTGTTCAACTTCAAGTAGGGGTGGTCGAGCAATATATAGATATGAAAGAGAAATACGAAAGAGAGATGAATGTAGCCAGAGTGAAAAGTTGGAAGGAATTCTGCCAAAAGCAAGACCGGGAATCCATGTGGGAGGGCATATATAGGGTGATAGGCCGAACAAGAACACAAGGCGAAGATCTGCCAATCGCGAGAGGGGGCACCTCCACCAGCCCCAAACAGTCGGTGCGCCAGCCCCAAATGGCGGAGACCTTCTACCCGGATGACACCGAAGTAGGGGAGAGCGAAGTCCACAGGACAAATCCCACCAACCACCCACGGCCTGGCGAACCTTCTTGGTTATGCAGGCCGAAGCAGCGGGAGATACGCGCGGAATGGCCTCCACCGCGCGTACTTTCTTGACTCCCTACAAATTATTCTTTATCTATCTCCTTGTCCCTATGGTCCCTCTCCCCTTTCTGGGGCGGACGTACACGAAACGCCTTCGTCGCAATCCCAGTCGTCCCGTACTCACTCTGAAGTGGTACCGCTGGCTCCAAATTGTAGTGTCCTCTCTTCTTTCTTCGCCTCGGGTCTTCTTTCTTCACCTCTCGAGTCCACTCCGAATCCTGTGCCATCTACGCGCGAAATCCCTTAGCTGCCTGAAGTTCGCCTCCGATCCCACAAGGTCGCAATAGTAGACCGGCCCAACCTCGAGCACCTTCATACTGTCCAGAAGTTCTCTCCCCGTAGAAGTGCGTATCAGTGCGGCGGAAGCAAATGAGGGAGTAGAACATGATGTTCATGACCCCCCACTTGTGGAAGCCGAGCTGGTGCACGCCGTGGACTCGTTCAACCCGAAAAAGGCACCGGGTGGAGATGGTTTCACGGCCGATATATGCGCGGCGACTGTTAAAGCAGATAGCGAACTCGCTCTCGCGATGTTCAACAAATGCCTAGCCCTGGCCCACTTCCCGCATGGATGGAAAAAAGCAACAGTGATTATGTTGAGAAAACCCGGCAAAGACAATTATCAGGAGCCCAAATCATATAGGCCGATCGGGTTGCTGCCAGTGTTAGGAAAAATATTAGAAAAGATGCTAGTGCGTAGGGTTAAGTGGCATAAATTGCCTAAACTAAATTTCAGGCAATACGGATTCGTGCCGCAACGCAGTACAGAGGACTCCCTCTATGTTATGGTCCGGCGGATCAGGGACAAATTGATAAAGAAGAGAATTGTGGCCCTGATATCGCTGGACATAGAGGGGGTCTTTGACAACGCGTGGTGGCCGCGAATCCGTTGCCAACTAAAAAATCTAAATTGCCCAATTAATTTAAGGAAATTAGTAGACAGCTACCTTCAGGACAGGACGGTGACGGTGAGATACGCGGGAGAGGAGTACAGCAAAGCAACAAACAAAGGATGTGTACAGGGGTCCATAGGAGGCCCCTTATTTTGGAATGTTTTGCTGGATCCTCTCCTGAATGGGCTCGCCGACGCCGGGGTCTACTGTCAGGCATTCGCCGACGACATTGTTCTGGTGGTAGACGGAGGAGACTCCAAGACGGTAGAGCAAAAGGCCAACATGGGACTCTCCCTGGTCAGGAGATGGGGCGCCGGTACTGACCATGGGGGGGGGGGGGGTTCAAATAGAGATAGCAAATGAAATTAAAATTCTTGGCCTTAAAATAGACAGTAAACTAACGTTCAACGAACATATAAAATACATCTGCGGCAAAGCGATAAATATATTTAAAGGTATACAAAGAGCCGCAAAGTCGACTTGGGGTCTCCAACCAGAAATAATTTGGCAGAAGGAAGCTGATAAAATAATGACTAAAAAGAAATTCTCAGTTGTGCAAAGGGGGTTCACACAAAAAATAGCAAAATGCTACAAAACGGTGTCACTTAACTGCGCCTTAATATTGTCGGGGCTGCTTTCGCTGGACCTTTGGGTCCATGAAGCATCCCAGCTTTATGAGGCAAAGCGAGGGAAACCCCAGGAAATATTAAGGTGGAGAAAGGTGGAGAAAAGGGTGTCCTTCATGGAATCGGACCATCCCGGTAGCAGTAGAGTGATAGGGTTTGAATGTTTGGAAAACGAGGAAGAGGATAGCAAACTGGCAGAAGGTCTCGTGAAGATCTATACAGATGGCAGCAAACTGGAGGGAAAGGTGGGAGCCGCCCTGACCTGCTGGAAAGGGCAGGCAGAAGTCCTTTCCCGAAAGTTTAAGCTGGAGCCATACTGTACAGTCTTCCAAGCCGAGCTGTATGCTATTCTCCAAGCCACGGAGTGTGTACTAGGGAAGGGATGGAAGGAGGCAGCCGTGCTCAGCGACTCGAGGTCCTCTCTCCAGTCGCTAACGGATCCAAACTCCTCGCATCCGATCGCCAAGGCGATTCAGGGAAACCTGGCTCAACTCAGGGACAATCAGGGATCAGGGCCCACATCGGGGTGATCGGAAACGAGAGAGCGGATCAGTTGGCGAAGGGAGCGGCCTTCGGGTTGAAGTGCAAATCGCATTATGACTGCTGTCCCATCTCTTTCGTCAAGCGAAATTTACGCGCAATGACAAAAGTTAAATAGGACAGCAGGTATAAGAGCGAGGACACGGCGGCCACAATGAAGGCATTCTTACCTTGCGGCGAGAGTGCCTTCGGTGTCATAAGAAAGATGGAAATTGATAGGATAGCTACACAAATCTTTACCGGGCACGGAGGTTTCTCCGCCTACCTCCATAGGTTTAAAAAGAAGGACACCCCGAGATGCGCTTGTGACCCCGACACCGAAGAGGACATTTTTCATGTCCTTAAAGAATGCCCCCTCCACAACAGAGTAGACACGACGCACAAACAGCATTACACACAAAACTTAGTAAGGAAAACCTAAGGGTAATTATGATGGAAGGCAAAGACAGGGAAATATTTATTAAATTCAGTAAGAGCATAGTGGAAAAGATAATTTTAAGAAACAAAGATGATTAGTATAAAAATGTACCTATTCATTGTTAAATCGTAAGTATTTGTAAATATTAGATTTAAGTAGAGAGCCAAATGGACAGAGAAATGTAAAA